GGGTGCTGCTGGAGCAGCAGCCCGCCGGACTCGACTAGACGTTGCGCTTAGCGGCCCGTCGGGAACACATCATTGGTTTTCTTTTGCGTGAGAGCACGCACGCGTACCAAGAGCATAGCCGACAGCGGGCCGCAGTATGAAGCAGAGGCTCTCCAAGACCGAGCAACTGACCTGGGTTTCGGCGACAACAAGTCGAAACGAACACTCCTCGACGTCCCGATCACGGCCCATACATGCAGTCACGCAGCAGTTGCTATTACTACCGACGCTTTGGAAACGCTGCTTTCACTTGCGGACACAATCAACAAGGTAAGTCCCAAGTGTGCTCGCATATGATTCCAGCTGTTTCCGGTGTTAACCCTACAGCCTCTCCTATAGTGTTTGGTCTCATGTGGGCTCTACGCACAAAAATGTAAATGGATACCAGTGCCACGTGTTCATTATATATATATATATATATATATATATATATATATATATATATATATATATATATATATATATATATGTAAAAGTCTACGAATAGACATAGAGCCATCTGAAACCATGTAACTCTAAAGAAGGTGCAGAGATAGTAAAAGAAAACACAACACATCAAAATCCATGGTTTCGTCAAAGGGCGAGATATTACCCGGTTGTCTAAACCGAAGTAGGGTGTTAACTTAGGGGACACCACCCCGAGTCTTTGGTTGAATAGCCTGCCCGCAAGGCAGCGGAGCGAATTCAGGGAATCGCGCCCATTGGGAGCTGGTGACTGATTGCTCAGTTCATACGCCTTTCATTTGTTCCTTTCTCAAACAGGGGCCCAATGATCCCCAGAATTACAGCATAAAGTTGCTGGAATACAATGCATTGCTAGGATGAAGCAAGGGGCAGTGAATTTATTTTGTGGCGAGTCACGTCCGCCACACTACTGTTGTTAAACGGACATATGTGGCTTTTTATAGGGAGAACGCTTGCCAGGCGAAAACCCACCGCGTCCTGGAACACTGCCCATGAACTGTTTGCTGGAACGGGAAAATCCCGAATCACCCAGCTGGTACCACGAGGAGGTTGTCCGGCAAGCCGTAAGAGAATAGGTTGCTCGATCGATTACTTTTATTGCAACCAATTGAACTCCCATAAAACCAGCCGGCTGTACCGAGGCCACCATCAAGCTAGGAAGGACTGTAGCCACTCACCGTCGTTTCATAATCGAGAACCTTCCTTGGGACGTCGTGCTTGGGGTAGATTTTCTTTCTCATTTCGATGCTAAGATTGATTTAGCCAGACATACCCTTGAGATTAACGCGCAGTTGATTTCGTTCGGCGCATCTATCTATCCGATGTTACCGTGCGCATTAAAAGCCGAAACAAAAATTTCTCCATATCCACATTGCGGAAGCTCCGACTGTGGCCCGCTGTGGTTCAGAGAACATCTTAGATATACTGAATACTGCATTATAAAGCAAGTATAAATGAATTCTGTGCAACGCTTTCGAAATGTGGTGAAAATATTATAAAATGTTAAAAAATTGTCAGCCGTGAATATGCATATCGTTCTCATGTAACATCTAAAGTATCTGACTCACGATATTGCAGGACTCACAAATGTTAAATATCATCATAGGTGTGCAGTCGTTCTCTGAATAGAGTAGTGGTAGAATATAAATCCAACAACGTTTTGAACTGCTGCACAGATGTTGCCCCCATCACATGTTCCAAATATTTACCGTTCTTTCAAAGCAAAGTGGGTGGGGAACACGCTTCACATCCGGCATGCCAAGTTTGTAACTGTGCCTGCGTGTGCTGCATGGCCCTCGTAAGTGCAGCATTGGCCTTATCATTGGGAAGTCACCGAGATGTAGAATACGCTAGGTCATGATGTGGTCGACTCGCACCCGACGGTAGGACAAGGTATAGAATCCTAGTCTCTCGCACCGGTCTTCATACCCCAAGCCACGTAAACTCGGGATGAGCCTGGTAGCAACGTGTTAGACCTGTTTAATCTTTTGTGCCTCGCCTCGGGTAATCGGAAAGTAGGCGGGCGAACTGTACTCTAGCATTGGTCTAATGATGGAAGAGAAGAGGCGAGTGGCAACCTCTTCAGACCATGTGCCGAAGCTACGTTTGAGCGCCCAAAGCATGCGCAGTCCGTTACGTTATAGCCTGTTCGTGTTGTTCACGCACTTCAAATCGTAGAGCTAGAGTACACCTAGGTCTCTCACGGAGGGTGTGGGATATATCGGTTGGCCGTCAAGGGTGTAGGTTCGGGCGTCAGCACTTTCCACCAGGCTCATAAATACAGACTTGGCTGGGTTGACCGGGAGAAGAACTTCTGCAGCCCATGTGGATAGGCGGTGTAGGTCTTGCTGAAGTACGCCACGGTAGTCAGGAGTAACAATTTCTCTCCAAATCTTCATGTCATCTGCAAACATGGCACACGGCAACTGGAGAAGCTGAGCTAGATCGGTGATGTGAATCAGGAACAGAGTGGGCTCCAGCACAGTGGCTTGAGGCACGCCATTCAGTTAGATGGTCGCCAACCTGTGCCCTCCACTTTCGTCCAACAAGAAAGTCGCGCATCCACTGGTGCGGTAAGCCACCGACATCACACGTCCTGATTTTGTGAAGGAGGACCTCATGGCGGACCTTATCGAACGTTTTACTGAAATCGGTGAATAGCACCTCAACAGACTTCCCCTTGCTTATTGCGTACAACCACTCATGCCTCGTCACAAGTAGGTTTGTAATACATGAGCGGCCTTGCATAAAACCGCGCCGTGCCGGGCGACAGAACATCTTTTGACTGTAGCAACTGCAATAATCCCTTCTTCACGATTTTCTTAACAACCTTTGCCAAAATAGGTGTCAGACCAATTGGCGTGTAGTTGTCTATTCTGCTAGGGTCACCGTCTTTCGGAATATCTCCAGTCAGTCGGCAACGAACCTTCGGATAGCGATCTGTTGGTAATGTCAGTCACGACAGGAGAGATAATGTCCGGAAGTGACTTGAGAATCAGTGGGTGGAGCCCCTCAGGTCCGGCAGGTTTGGTACCTTCAAGGCTGGCGAGTAGTTGACATACTTCCTCAACGCCTCAATTCCGACTGTCGAGTTCGGTAAAAGCGGTGCACGTTGAACTCGGAACAGACACCTAGTCCTTTGCAAATACAGAAGCGAAGTGCTCCGCCAGCGCGGACGCACGCTCAGTGCTGGAGGTTAGGGTCTGTCCGTCCATGCCATCTAGCACTGGCACATCACCTACCGGCTTCAGGCGTCACGTCACGTATGCAAAGATTCTCTTTGGGGCGGTATTCGCGGCGATTGCGAGCTGCTCTTCGAAATGTCGGCGCTTATTTCTTTTTGCGCTAGTGCGGATGTTCCGCCAACTTTTATCGGCTTCGCAGTCATTGGCAGAGCCAGAGAGGAGGAATCTGTCCCACAGTCGCGCCGTCTCCCAACCAAATTTCCACACTCCTTCTCAAACCTTCCTACAATTCAAGGGCACTAGTTGGGAACACAATTGCGTCAATCTCACTTCTATACATGTCGAACAGTTTTCCACAGATGCAGCTTGTGACAGAGACCAATCCAACTGGCTTGCTGCTCGAGCTATACCGTCGAAGTCTTTTTTCCAATAGCTGTAAGCTGGCTCCAGCAGACGTGAATACGACAAAGAGAATTCCATATCAGCTATGAGCACTGAGTGGTCGCTTGTAGCCAAGGGCTCCAGGATCCGAACGTCACGCACTCGTTGTTCATAGCTCGTTGGCATCAGGTCGAGACAGGACGGGGTTGAGCGTGTTATTATGCGTGTTGGCTGGCATATGTGTTGCGATGCACCAGTTTCAAGTACCAAATCCACCAACTTTGCTTCAACATCACTATGTCCAGGCATCAAATGCACATCAGGCCATCGTATTCGAGGACAGTTAAAATCGCCCATGATTAGAAAATGTGGACGACTCATGTAGGTTCGAAGATGAGGCAGGAATCCAAACAACTCAGGGGGTTGCGACAGACTGTGCCCACAAATAGTTCTCCGCGCCTGAGGTGGATGGAGCACCACAATAGCTCATACAAACCATCGTCACTTCGGTAGGTGCTCACCAGTCTCCTACACAGGGTAGACTGGACGTAGAGCAGGACGCCACCGCAAGCCTTCGTTAGTCTATCGCAGCGGAAACACGAGTAACCCTTGAGTTCACGTTCCTGGGTGTATAACTCTGAATGCAGCCATGTCTCTCTTCATTAATAAAGCTGGTTGATAACTACTCAGTTGCTAATACTTCTCCAGGCATTGCTTGAACTCTTGAGACTTTTGAGCATTTCCCATGGCTCCAAACTTAAAGGGCGAACACCTCGGTGAAATCATTTTTATTATCGCTTGCTGTAAAAATTTAAGCGGTGGTAGTCCAACCTTCTTCGAAATAGGTTGTGTCGTTTCACAAGTGTTTGCTTGAGAGTCATCAACTACATTTCTTTATCCTTCTGGTTCTACTACTGCTGTGACTGTAATCACGGCCTGAGCATTATCCACAGAAGTTACGATTCTGTACTTTATGATTTCCTTATTAACTGGATACATCCCACTGCCTCTAAATCCACTGATAACCTTTTTCTGTGGCAATCAGTCAGACAGCTGTTTAACCAGGAAGGAAAATTTCCCTTGCTAACCTGGAGTCTGCTTTCATAGACCCAAACCTGGTTCCCAGCCACTGCCAGGCAAATCCAGCGACGCGCGTCACCAATCATAAGTGAAGTGCATTTATGCCTGTGCACTGACCAGCTAACCAACACCGTGTGTACGAATGTTTGACGCTTTTGGGCAGCTAATTTATCGTGCTCGCTACTGTTGTATGTTTATTGTGTATATCCTGCTTTCTGCTCACTAAGCAGCTTAGTAAGCAAATCAACCTTGTTGTCTGCGTAACCTGGATACATCATCCATTTTTCCTTTCAGAAATCGTGATCTCCTCCACCCAAGAAGGGTTTCTTGTACACACTTCACCTCTACATCATGCAGTCCATGGATAGACGACAGCAAGAGACTATCCAGACTTTGTACACTGCCATGCACAAACTTAAACAGAAGGTTACAGATCTGGCGGTAAAAATCGAGACCCAGGTATGTATTACCGTTCGATTTCATCTGTCCAGTCATTGCGACCTTTATTTGTTATTATTAATATTATTATTTTCTCCATTTCTGTTTCTATGATGATTTTAGGCTGAACACTGTGACTGGCCGCGTTACTTGAGTACCCTCGCATTATGTGCTTCGGAATTAAGTGAAATTCGCAAAATACTTGAATCTGATCGATTCTCTAACGGGCACTCCTTGGTACTCACTCCAATTATGCTAAATCCGGAAATTGATCCTGCGTTGGCCAAGGCTACTGAAGACCGATTAGCCCTGTTCAACCACGACACCGTGCCACAATATCTGCGCACCAAACTGGACCCCAAAGTCAGTTTATTCCCTTGACACGAGAAGCGTATGTGGGTCTCTTGTATCCGGTCATTCACTTATTACAATTGATTTTGCTCCCCATAAATTCTTACGTATTTCTGACGTTCTCACGATTCACTGCTTTTATCGGCATTCATTGAGAACATTCGCAGCTCGGGGTTTGAAGGAGCATGTTCGGTTATTGCTTGAACTGGGCCTTTCAAGTCCAAACACCTCGTTACATGCCTAGGCAGCATCCTCGGTGCTAATGTCCAGATGAAGTCATCAGCCTCTACGTCCTGGATTCCACTCCTAGCAGCTGCCCTATCTACCTGGTTATCTCTCGTGAAGGTAAAACCGGTCGTGCAACTCAGTTTTTTGAGTGCGCAGAGTAAAAGCTGATATACTTAGGAAAACATCGTGTGTCTCCGTTTGGTGCTCCTTTCACTGATGCTACCTTACTAAATCGATTTACACTAATAAAGGTTCAAAGAAGATAGACCACTTAAACACCAGCTTTACTGAACTCGCCTATTTCTCTATGTTCAAGTTTTTCTGTGACTAATTGTTGAAACGTGCTCTGCAAATCTTCCCTTTGTCCCACTGGGTAAATTTGTGGAACGACTACATGCGACGAAGTCATTTTAACAGATGAAGCCCTCTTGTTGCCTTTTTCGAAAAGTAATTCGTTCGAGTCGTCGTACTTGTATCCCTTGACCAATGTGTTTGATCTACAAGGCATTGGAAAGCATACCCAGCTCGAGAAATGCAACTGCAGAGCCGCTTTAATATTTGCGTTGGACCATCCTCATGCAGTCTTATAACTCTCAGAACGCGTTTTGTTGGTGATATGTTATACACCTGCGACCGCAGTCTAGTCTTGGCTAGTTCGTACTTTATTGACTTAGAGCCAACTGGATTTTGCCGGAGGCGCTCGTGCTCCACGCCACTTGAGCTGATCCTATAACCTGCATCTGTCATTCCCTGTATCTTAAGAGATGTGGGTCGCCGATCTCTTTCCGACCTCTGACGATGTACTTGAACTTGACTTATCTCTGCTTGATGTGTCTGGTCTGAGGGCCTCCGAAACACTCTGAACGGGTCGACTGGCGTGGTTCATTAACATAAATTCTGACCTCCCGTCGATAAGTAAACATGCAATGTGCCTGACTCGTGTGATGAGAATCTGCTAGTTATTGAGTTATGGAGCATATTTCACACATCCTAGTTTATCTTCTATCCAACTCAATAAATTCCCACTCGGCCGGTGGCAGAGAGGATGAAGCATCTGTTTTGTAACCTAAAGTTCGCCAGTCCAAATCTACTTAACACGGGTGATCTTTCAGAGTTCCTAGCCTGGTGGCAGTCGCATGACTGCGTAGCATGGGTGCGTCCCACCGACGTACTGCTGATGACTTATCTTATTTAGACTTAAAACGACCTCAAGAGCTTTACACGTCATATGTTTCTGGTGCATGACTGCGGTTGTACTTGAACTAGAGCCTTTTTAGACATTGACCGTTGTTCTCACATGCATACATGGACCCCGGAGTGATATGTTCTTTTCTACTTCTACAGATGACTTAATGGCCAGAGCCTCCGGTATGTACTCCGAAATTCTCGGTTTCGGCCACACGTAAATGCGGCCGACGTCACACTGTACCTACTCATCGCGCAATTGCCAGTGGTTTTTGCAGTGGCGAAGAGTCAGCACGTAAAACCAGCGTACTTCTGTTGCCCTTCCTCACCGCCAGAGATATTGTTTTTAGATCGTATTTTTTCTCATCGAACGCTTTTGCTCGTCGTTACTTAACTGTTTTAGCACCATTCTTTTTTGTCGCACATAATTGTACGCACTTGTAACAAGGGCGTTAGCCCCAGTTGGGTTGGGAAGGGACCTGTCTCGTTGCCAGTATGGCGTCTGTTGATTGGCTCAATCTCAGAGCTACTCACCTTAAATGACTCGACTCACCTTGGACATTGTCTCACCGTACCTCCTCGCTCGTTTGTGGCTTCAGTACTGATGTTCGGTTAGTTCACTTTCACTCAAAAACACCGATCAACTCACTCACTGCGATAGTTTCCTCACTTAGTTGTTAAGTCATCGAAAAAGCACTGCACGAGCTGATGGGGTCTGCATCTATTTTCCAAGTTTTAAGTAGCCGTGGAATCGGTGTGCCATAAGCTTATCGTTCTAGAGTAGTGTGTATAGCTATGTAATGCGATCGGCGTTATCGTTTGGATCAGAGCCACGACCACTTCTCACTGTAGATATTGAGAGATTGGTCGTTTCTGTTTACAAGTGTCAACGCAGCAACTCTCGTATATAGTGTTCACCAACTGGTGGCTTCCAGCTTATCGTCTCTTGGGCTATCTGCGTTGGTTAGGCCACTGCCCTCCTACGTCTATTTGTCTCCCATCTCGGCGTTAATTGCTAGCCAATACTGTGCCTATTTCAAGGAAGCGTCAAGTTAGTCTGCCCACTGCGTAATGGAAAGACGTGAATAAACTGGTTGTACCTCTTTTTCTAGTACACGGGGTTTTCCCAAATGAGTCCGAGGGATCGGTCTTATCAGCAATTGAAAACCCTGACATGTTGCCCTTGCATTAGGTGTTGTGCATGTTTACTTGTGACGATCACATTCCTTCTTCTTATTGTTTGCGTCCTTGCCT